TCGCAGGGTCCAGGTACTCGTACCTAACTGAATGTTTTTTGGTACCAATTTCATACATTCATACTTTCATACGTTCATACGTTCATACACAGACCATTGAAGAAGCTCACTATTATATCTAGACGCAATAAATTCAATATTGCCCACCGACCTACTTGCAGATTCCGTTGTTTGCCTATACTTTGAACACCATCTATAGATCAATTCCAATCCTCTATTCTATGGGCGCAGAACAATCTTCATCGCGTGGTGGGGATGCACAAAATAATGGCGGGGTAGTGATGAAAACATGTTACTACGAATTGTTAGGCGTCGAACGACAGGCTTCAGATGATGAGTAAGAACTTGGATATTGCTTTTTAACTCATTATTCTAAGATTGATTGAATGTACCTAGGATCAAGAAGGCCTACAGGAAAAAAGCGCTGGAACTTCATCCCGATCGGAATTATGGCAACGTTGAAACTGCCACCGCCAAGTTTGCCGAAGTTCAATCTGCCTACGAGGTCTTGTCGGATCCACAAGAAAGAGCCTGGTATGACTCTCATCGATTATCAATCCTAGGAGGCGGTGATCCTGCGGAAGACGACTTTGCGGATAATGTTCGAATAACGAGCGCTGCACATATCATAAGCTTGATTGGAAAATTCGACTCCAGTGTCCCCTTCACGGATGCTCCGAATGGGTTCTTTGGTATACTTCGAGAGACATTCGCAACTCTTGCGAGAGAGGAGAACGCAGCATGCGATTGGGATGGCCTTGAAATAGTAGATTATCCTGATTTTGGGAGCGCTGAGGATAACTATGAGGACGTAGTCAAATCCTTTTATAGAGCCTGGGTGAACTTTACTACGCAGAAGTCATTTTCATGGAAAGACCTCTACCGGACCTCAGATGCGCCGGATAGAGCAACCCGCCGATTGATAGAGAAAGAAAATAAAAGGTCCCGGGATGAGGCCAAAGCAGAGTTTAATGATGCCGTCAGACATCTCGTTCTATTTGCGCGAAAGAGGGATCCCCGCTTCACTCCGAATTCACAAACCCAGGAGGAGAGACAGAAAATATTGCGGGATGCTGCATCGGCCCAGGCTGCTCGTAAACGAGCGGCGAATCAAGCCAAGATGAACAGCTATGTGGTTCCGGACTGGGCGAATCCGGACGAATCTGAAGGTGTAGTCGAAGAATCATCTGAAGATTCTGAGGTTGAAGTAATAGAGTGCGTTGTTTGTAACAAGACGTTCAAAAGCGAAAACCAATTTGAGGCACACACGAAAAGTAAAAAGCATACCAAGGCCGTACAGGCTATCCAGAAACAGATGCGCAAAGAGAACAAATCTTTGCACTTGGATACCCCACGGGAACCAAAGAGTAGCGACCTTGATGATGGTTTCGAAAGACTTGAAGTTGCGTCAGAAAATGAGAAGCTTGAGTCTGCTATCGATGATGCAACTAAATTTGAAGAAGTGGGACACTCGCCATATGATCACGACTTGAATGCCGGCAAATTAGATAGTCCGGTCAAAGATGATTCCGATATCGACAGCTTAAATGATGATTACGCACCCAGAGCAGCAGTTGAGGAAAGACTAGCGGCAGCAGTATCAGGAGATGCACACTCTCTTGAAACCAAGGATCTGGTCCCTGGTCAAGATTCGACCAAAGATATAGAACAAGATACTTCTAGCGGTCCTACTCTAAAGAAAACTCTTGGGAAAGCGAAAATAAAACGTGCCAAAAAAGCTGCTCAAAAAGAACCTACAGGGCTGCAGGGCGAAAATGTAAGTGATCATCTCCTCAATCTTATGTCACTTGGTACTCATGAGATTCCAGTTTAAATGTGCCAATATGACATGTCACGAGTCGTTCTCCTCAAAGACCAAACTCTTCAACCATATCAAAGAATTTGGCCACGCCTCACCCGTACAAAAAGCTGGTAATTCAAAAAAGAGGAAATAGGGAATGGGAGCTAAATAATGAAGTTTAGAGCATTGGGAATGGTTTACTATAGCTTTATACCCTTATTTTTATGTAGAGGCGTTCCAAAAAATGGCAGACATGCTCCCCCGCTGAGCACAAAATCTAATGAGTTTGCTTGTCACAATGACCAGCCATTCAAATGTCCGTGATCTAACCTTGGAAGCAGACATTGAAGACTAACTAATCAGCCCATTCATCATTTCTAAATTGATCTATTCGATGATATGTTAAGGTTAGGTGACAATCGAATGGCATAAATCCATAGTGGTTTTGGTGAATTCCGTTCTCATTGCCGTGGCCCTTAGGACATGCGCGTCTAGATCAAACTTGAACATTGTTTTTGAAACTTGTATTAACCAATTTTGTATTCCGATTTTCACACGAGATCTCAAACAATAAAAAACCAATCAAAGTTGTAATTTGCGATGAAAATGGATTAAGACTAATCTCTATATGCTCACCTACCCCGAACGCCCTGAATACCTCAATTCCTTTGATGGATTGTTTCCCAGCGCCTTAGGCGTCTAATATGGTATCGTCATCGTCGTCGTCAAATGTTTCAACCTCGTCAATAGCTCCATCTCGCTCTCCACCTAAGCCATACGATGCCGGATCTGTATCTGCAACGTGGATAACCCCCTTACCCTGTACTTCCTTAACGGCCCGTCGCCACTCGTTCCAATCGTTCTCATCACGTATCAAGAATGCAATAAGCATGCTGGGATCCATCTCCTTTATGTGGAGTCGTCGAAGTCGGCGAGTGTGGCACGAGTCAACATCCTCTGTAGTATAGTCATCCATATTATCCTTGTACGGAAGTGCTGGTCGTGTTTGATGAGGATCTAGATAGAAGAAATCTGAATCTTGCACACCAATGAAGTAGTGCGAGGAAGATGGGCGACCCCTGTACTAAATTATTATATGACGATGTTAACGAAAGTCGGAGTGACTCACCCAGCTATCCCCACAGATTGCGGCATCTGTAAGGAGTATTTCAGTGCCTCCCAGTAGACAGGGGTTATCTTATCAAGGCCTAGCCTCGTACCGACTAGAATGAGAGTAGGGGTGAAGTCTGAGTGGTTTGGCTTTGCGATACTCATAAAGGTGTCTTCGTATACGTCCGATCCGTCGCCCGTGATGTATACACGCAGTTCTGATTTGGCTTGGTTATTGGATAAAGCCCTGTAGATGATCAGTCATTATTCAAATTGCTCTTGAATAGTCTTCTTACTGGATACAGCGCGCAGTAGCAGATGGTCCGAACCACTCTCCAGGATGTTTTCCACAAGCACTTGCACCGTGTTCGACAAATTTGTGAATAGAGTAAGGAGCTCTTGGATCATCTGCGAACAAAGATAAAATTTTGCGTTCCTCGTGGCTAGATATCCCGCGACGCCATTCTATTTCATGGTTAGCTCAAGAACCGAAGAAAGTTATGGTAAAGGAGCGAACCTCTGCCCATCCTCAGAGTAAGCAATGCATTTGCCAAGAGGCTTTGCCCGGACCTTATCATACAACCCCACCCTGTGTCAGATGTAAAGCCTCCTTGGTCGACAAGTTGACTCCTCAATCGTACTGATAGTGACATCGCAGAAAAGGCTTTTGGGTCCTGCGACTTAGCTATCGCTGGAAAGTTTGATCGATATGTGAGCCATATTTTGGCTTCGAAATCATCAAGGAATGCGGATGGCCATCCTCCATCTGCATTGGCTGTATCGCAAGTTTGGTAGCCTGAACTTGAGTCAAGGCTGCCAACGGTACTATCAGGTGGAGTTGTAACTTCATTGTTTTGTAAAGACTGTGCGGGTAGATATTGTACTTCCTGGGGAGGGGAGTCTGTAATGGTTGAAGTGGGTGACTTTTCCAGAATAGGGTATTCTTTTCCTAAACACCAAATAGGTGACTGCGAGGCAGTATCGTTTGTTGGCTCGGGATCCCAGAAATACTGGACGAAGCGTTTGTAACGACCTATATCAGCCGCCGTCATGGTTGAATGCGACTATGATTCGTATTCAAGTCGTGTCGGATGCACATAAGACTTGGAGAGTGTTATGGTAGAGAATGGCGGGGACGGTGAGCGGAGGGGAAATTGATTAGGATTATTGACGGATTCTATAGTGGAAGTATGGATAGAGCTGATGGAAGAAGAAGTTTAGGTAGTTGAAGTAGAAGAGTTGAAGTATAAGTATTATCAATAAGTGAACATTTGATAAGTCGAGAAATGTTGCAGATTGTTTGAAGTATGGGATGAGGTGAGTGCTGCAAGGCGAAGGCAGCTGATGTTCTGATTGATGTTATCACGTAGTATTCAAATATTATACTTTGTTTGGTCTAGTGCGTTCTTCTGTGAATGTTAGACACGACAACACGACACTCTCATTTTGGAAGTGCATGTGCAGTGACTGACGGGAGAAAGCTAAGCTTGGCAGGAACCAGGTTGATGATGTAATGAGTTATTAATTGGATGATAAGGTAGAAAGGCATTAAAGTATTGGTACTCGAATACTTTACCCAGTATGTCCGAGTTGATAACTTCTTCTAGGTACCTGTGAACAAGGTATTTATTCTTTCTCCATACCTCCTCTAGATCTCCTCTCTGTACGGAGTACCACAGACCCACCTTTTGATGGTTTCTTATCGATAAGAAGCTCCTAGAGTCATTATCACCTGGGCATCCATATTTAATCAAAACCTGACTGGCGAAGGTGAAGTGCCCATAAATTGCCAGCATCTTATTGGATCAAAAAAGCTACTAGTATACATTTTCGTGCAGCGTAGTCATCTATACTAATAGTTGTTTTTGTTACACACAACACCGACCAGTACCTGAGCTGCCTACCCTGTAGCCTAACACATTCATTACTAGGTTATTCATCTTCCTCTCAAATCATTCTCATTGATGGCAAAACTTTCTTCATCTTTTCCCTTTCGAAAGTAATATTCGTCGTAAGGATCCATACGTCAGTTACCATCCTCAAACTTCGATTCTATTGACACTCTCATTGCGCTGTGATAACACAAGCTATGCCACGAAACAAACGGGGTGGCGCTCGTGGGAGGGGCAATTTCAGCTCACCTAGAGGTGGTCGCGGAACTCCCACTCCTGGAACATCCTTTATACCATTCGCTGGCACATATGTTCCCCAAAGGCCTCAGACTGGTAATGTTTATATATTCTCCATATCAATGATTTTCGGCGAAGGCGAATGCAATTGCCATTGTTCTATCAGACATGTTTGTCAATGCTAACAAATTTGGTATATTGTAGGTTTCACACTTCAAGAAGAAGCTCGCAATACTGAACGCCATCATTCATTCTGGAACTCTGATCAAAGATTAAGGGATACAAAAGTGAGCTTTGTTAGCGCCGGTGAGTTTAATCCGCCAGATCTTATCAAAGATTCTGAGGAGGCACTGGCTGGGATGAGCTTGGAATCTGCAGAACTACCTGCAGGAAGCTTGACCCAAAATGTGAAAATCGCGAATCGCGAAGCGAGGTTGGCTGCATCCCCCTCGTCATTCATGATAGATACCGATGGTGGCAACCCTGTTGAGACAGGTCTTGCACCACCGCGTTTGCGTTCAATCTCTCCAGCTCGGTCAGACTCGAGCGAAGAAGTCATTCTCTTTCACGGACGTGGTCAAGTGAGAAATGAAGATGCCAGGGTGGAACATGATCCCCCAACAATCGTAGATCCTATAGATGCCAGGATCAAGTTCTTGGATGATAAAATTCATGAGCAAGAAAAGCTATTGGAAGAAGCTTTAGGTGAGAAGGAAGCGTCTCTAGAGTCTATTCCACCTGAGCTGGCAGAGGCATTGAACAAAGAGATGTTTTTGGGCAAAATGTCACACAAGGTAGCAAGTTCACCTTCTCCAGATTTCGAGGCAATTTTACCCAAGCGTCAAAACAAAGATCGAGGTCAAGGTCGCGCTAGACGAGGTAGACGAGTGGACAACAGAATCGATAATAGTGATGAAGAGGATGCTATGATTGCAGATTACATTGCAAACATGGATCAGGAACAGACTATGGCTGATGTCGACCATACATTCAACAAACGTGAGTTAGGAGGCGATGACGACGCTACTTGGGAAGATGATTCTTCTGCTAAAGGCGGTCATGATTCTGATGGACATCACGGATGGGGTCGGACAGAATTGCAGGATCTTGACGATCTCAGCACGTCGGATGAGGCCAGGGGCAAAGTCGAAACGATTTTATCAAAGAGGCATCGTGTTGGTGGCGTACAGTACTTAATCGTCTGGGAACATCAGGACGTAGACGAAGCCAGATGGGTCCCGCTAGATGTTCTACAGGATTCCGGGGCACTGCCTCTCATTGAGGTTTTTGAAGCTGAAGAGAAGTTGGTTGCCGAATTCGAAAGTAATGGAGACGAAGACAGTGATGATTCCGACGATTTTGTCGATGGAGATGATGACGACCATGATGACGAGCAGGATCTAGTTCAAAGGAGAATTGCAAAAATGAATGATGAACAGATTGCAAGACTGATAAGTAAGCAAGAGGAGCTTGGTATGGGCGGTGATGAAATTCTACTCTTCGACGATGAAGTCGATGATGAGGATGACGACATGGAAGCGTCCACGATTGATCTCAGTAATTTCATACTTTCAGGCAGAAGAGGCAGAAAGGAAAGACAGCGACGCCAGGGCGAATTTCCACCTGCAGCTCCATTGGCCGATGCTTACGACGGATTTGACGTAATGGATTTTGATCGACCGAGTCTCAAAAAGAAACCTAAAGGTCGCAAGGGCAAGTTGATACTAGACGACATCTCGGATTCAGAGCTCGAGGCATCAATGCAATCAGCTTGGGACAATGATCGTGTTAAGAAAAAGGAGAGAAAGCAGGAACGTGAAGTATTACGTGCACGAGGTTTACTGACTGGCAAGCATGGCAAGCCCGATATGAAGGCAAGGTACAAGGAAGGAATGAGTATTGAAGATGTCAAGGAAGAAATCAAGGAGTTTTTGAAGGGCGACAATACCACGTCAGTATCATTTCTACTCTTCTTAATCCACACACTAACATAATACAGCCTTTCTCTTCCTGCGATGGACAAAGCCGATCGTAAATTTGTTCACGAGATCGCCAATGCATTCAAATTGAAGTCCAAGTCAGCTGGTTTAGGCAATAAGCGTTATCCTATCTTGTACCGTACTTCAAGAACGACTGTTTATGGAGAGCGCGCCTACGAAGCTGCAGCGTCAAAACTTTCGCGTCGTTTCCTTCCACGTAATGATGTAGGTGGAAGAAGGACAGGTGCTACATCCAAACGTGGCGGCCGAAGTGGTGGAGGCGGTTTTGGTGCTGCTAGTTATCGTGATGGTGATGTCGTCGGTGCCTCAGCTCCCGAACTGGGTGTTGAGAACAAAGGAAGAGCGATGCTAGAAAAGATGGGCTGGAGTGCCGGCACAGCTCTTGGTGCGCTCGATAATAAGGGCATTCTTCAGCCAGTTTCCCACGTTGTAAAAACGACGAAAGCCGGTCTAGGATAAGGGGCCGCGAGTATGGATAAGATATCGCGAACCGACTAGTCGATCATGCATTCAGATCGATTGATGTGTTATCCGAATTGTACTCGGCGGTGGTCACTATATAGGGTTAGTGTAGAATGCTCGTGTTTGGCAGCAAGATTCCAAACTCGATTGGCGGCGCGATCTAGCTCTGTTAATGGCATTCCTCAATAAATAGAAATTCATGCGCCACATTGTATGGAACCAAATAGGTGACGGTGAATTAAGTTGATGTTTGAATTTCGTCTTCTAATTCCCTATTCTGATGAAGACGTTTGTTTATTGTACAGCCACGTACCCCGAAAACAGACCGTGAAGACATTTGCCCCCATAAAAATCAGACCATCCATAACGCATTAAAAAGAAACCCCCAAGGCCCTCGAACAACAACAGCCATCATCTATGAGATGACTCCAGAGCTCAAGCATATCCGATATCCCCCCTAAACCCCAAAGAAAAGACAGCTTATTTCGTGGATGAAGAGTACTTGGTAACAGCCTTGGTACCCTCAGAGACGGCATGCTTGGCGAGTTCACCGGGGAGAATGAGACGAACACTGCGTAATGGTTAGGAATGGGATACATAGATGTAACTGGGTTTGCACATACGAGGTTTGGATTTCTCTTGATGAGATGGTGCTCTTCTTGTTGTAAGCAGCGAGCTTGGATGCCTCGGTGGCGACGCGCTCAAAGATATCGTTGACAAAGGAGTTCAAGATGGACATGGCGCGGTTGGAGATACCAGTATCTGGGTGAACTTGCTTGAGAACTATGGATTGAAAATGTTAGTGGTTGTTGTTTGGGTAATGCGACGCGTCATAAATGGAAGCGCGATCGAAAGTCGCGAATGGATTCGCACCTTTGTAGATGTATGAAGAGTAAGTCTCCTTGCGTCCCTTCTTCTTGCGTGGCTTTCCTTCGCTGGTGGTGGTCTTCTTGCCAGCATCTTGCTTGCTAGCTGGGGCCTTTGATGCGGATGCAGGTGCCTGTTTTGAAAGGTGTTAGAAAATGGTATTTGGAGCGCGCAGTGAGAATAAACACGTACCTTAGCGGCAGCTGGTGCCTTGCTTGCAACTCCCTTTGGTGGCATTTTGAATTTAAAATTTATTTGGATTGAAAAATGTAAGGTTGGAGATTGATGTTGAAGTTAATAAGTTGGAAGATGGAAGATGGACGTGGGTGTGGTTTGTTGTTAAAGTTATCAAAGATGAAGGGGATTGAAATTGGGAGATGAAGAGTTTAAATGAATAATAAAGTCGGCCAAAATCACTTTCGTGCTCTTTTGCTAACCGTGCTGCTGGGGACTCTCTAAAATCGATGATTGGATACCCGATTAGTGTGGAACCACCTCCATGACCAATCACATAATTCGTTCCATTTGCGGGTCGTGCCTTCTGCTTATAAAATACCCTAAAACGCTCTAGCTTATGGAAGGAGCTCTTTACGGTGTTTTTTTATGGGCAGAGCAGATCAGATCACGACTTTTGATGGCTCTTGTTGATAAATGTTCGTCCCCATTCCCATCTTCTTTTAATTCAAAACATCTCTTCTCCATCCACGCAAAACTTTCGAAAAAAACACTTTCCAGAATTCATACTTGAATTAAATTCATCCATCAAACTTAACCACTTCCCACATCAATTTTACTTTTCAAATACTTTCAAAATGACTGGAGGAAAATCTGCTGGAGGAAAGGCGGGAACCACCAAGAACGCTCAATCGTAAGTTGCACTTCCCTTATCTTTCACATCGTACCTCGCGACTTTTCGATCCAATTTGCAATTCGCATTTGTATCTAGATATCATGATCACTTTTCGATCTTGAAGAAGCTTCAATGCTAACTTATTTGCCTGTTTAGCCGTTCATCCAAGGCTGGTCTCGCATTCCCAGTTGGTCGTGTTCACCGTCTTCTCCGAAAGGGTAACTACGCTCAACGTGTCGGTGCTGGTAAGTCATAATCATCAAAACCATTCTAATTTGCTATTTCTAACGCGTATTCATCAGGTGCCCCTGTCTACCTTGCTGCTGTTCTTGAGTACCTTGCGGCTGAAATTCTCGAGTTGGCCGGTAACGCTGCTCGCGACAACAAGAAGACCCGTATTATCCCACGTCATCTCCAACTCGCCATCAGAAACGATGAGGAATTGAACAAGCTTTTGGGACACGTTACAATCGCACAAGGTGGTGTCTTGCCAAACATTCATCAAAGTAAGTTACTTCAATCTAGTATTTTATATCACTCTCTAACGTGTATTTAGACCTTCTTCCAAAGAAGACTGCCAAGACTGCTGGTGGAAAGCCTGCCAGTCAAGAGCTATAGATTTTTGTTTCTGGGTTGTTGGCTTGAGATGGTCTGCTTTTATGATAATGGGGTGTCGTATGGGTATGGGTTTATGGTTATTTTTTCGCGTTCCGGTTGTACATTAAAATCCATGGCAATGGATTAGGATTGCTTTCTGAATCAATCTTATGAATGAAAAATCCGAATGATCATTCTTCATTATTTTCCAGAACACTTTAATTCCCTACTCGATCAATGCAATGAAACATGAATATCAAGCGTGGGGTTGGATGTTGGGCGCGAAATGCGTCTGTTTTGAATTTGTTCGAGTGTGGGATAGGGGAGCTTTTATGTTCCGATCGTTTAATGGCCGCTTTCTTGATTCTGTCTCCTAGCTTCCAACTTGGCATTATATTGCTGTTCCTTGATTGATATATATCACCGGCAACGTTCGTGTCACTCGAATTTGTGCTCGTTTGTCTTCCAATCATATCGACCTACACAAGAGTCACTCAAGAAAGATGCGTTCAGATTCTCTGAGAGGGCGTGTCTGTAAACATTGTCGAATTCCCTTGTGCTATGTACAATTCATGATTTCTTCCACTGATTGTAACTCCACACTGTAGCCATCTGCCTTCCTTCCCTTGAAATACCCAGGTACTTACAAAGCCATCTTTGCAGGAGCTATGAAATGTTAATGCGGCGATCTCAGCAGTCGATGTGTTGTACAACTTACGGTCGAGAATTGGTGATGGAAGATTGCGCTCGTATTTCGATCCTGGTAAGAGAACATTGTAAGCATATGATATGAAGATAGCCAGCCAAGGGAAAACTGACCTCCAGGGGCAGTAGGTGGGCGATATGGATCTGGGTGCTTCCACTTCTCAAGTAGATCCTCCGTCTCTTTAAACAATGCCTGCGGATCAGATAATTAGTCTACACTTCCTCCTTTGTATCAATTGGGCTACATGCCCTCTGCAGTCTTGGGTCGTGAACATTTTTTTGCGCCTCGAATAATGATCTGATGTACAATGCTTGCCCTCTCCAGAGATGCCTGTGTACACACCAGTCCAGGGAAAGCTTGAGGGAGCGCCGATAAAGCGACCTGAACAGAAGAGTGTTAGAATGGGTAGTCTGTGTGGTACGGGATGTAGATGCTCACGATACTGTAGATCTGGTAGACATTATGAATCAAATCTAATCTTTTTTTTCCTCTGGATGCTCAAGATCGATGGCAATGCCAAAACGCGGCAATTATTGTACCTGGCCACTAAAAGATCTATCTTCCTTTCAATAAACGCTATTGATGGGAAACGTCTAAACTGTGGTTGGTGGTTGGTGGTAGGTGGTCGCGGAATGAATATTCAGTAAGTGGAAAGTGGAGTGGAGGTTGATTGTTGGAGTGCTACTAGGTAGATGTGGGAATATAATACGGGCGTCTGCGGGTACGAATTTCGGGAAAACGCTTCAAAATTCGCGAACCCGGAAAAGACATCATACAGGAAATAATTAATCAATCTTATCCTCTACCTATTTCTTTTCGCATGCGCGTTTGTTGACCTGCAAACTAGGTTCTCTATTTCTTTACCTACAACTCAGGTCATCCTCTTCTTCAATCTTCTCTCTAATCCTCGCCATCTGGCTCCCGGAACATAAATCACTTCGCCTTTTCTCTCCTTTCAAAATGCTTACCAGGAGGGTTTTGACAGCTTCGCGATTTTTGCTGGCTCAACGTTCCGCCGCACCGCAATTGAGATATCCACTCCCAGTTATCCAGCAATTTCGTAATTATGCCGACAAAGTTGTCAAAGTACCAGAGATGGCCGAATCCATCTCTGAGGGCACTTTAAAACAGTGGTCAAAACAAATCGGTGATTATGTTGAGCAGGATGAGGAAATTGCTACAATTGAAACAGACAAAGTCAGTATATACCAGTATGTCCTCAGCGGCACATGATTAACGGGGGAAAACTTAGATCGATGTTGCCGTTAATGCTCCCGAGGCTGGCACAATAAAGGAATTCTTAGCCAACGAAGAAGATACTGTTACCGTTGGTCAAGATCTTATCCGTCTCGAACTTGGGGGTGCTCCAGAGGGTGGTGATAAAGAAAAGGCCTCTTCGGAACCGAAAGAAGCAGCATCAAAAGATCAATCAACATCTTCGGATCCTGAGCCATCTAAGAAGGAGGATTCAAAACCCAAGGAGGATTCCAGCTCTCCTCCACCTACAGAGAAGAAATCGGAACCAAAAGAGACGCCAAAGCCCAAACCATCGGAATCTAAGAAGCAAGAGTCGTCATCTAGTACTTCCGGGCCTTCTTTGGGAAACCGTGAGGAGCGTCGTGTATGAACTTTACCTGGTACTTGACACAATTCGTGCGGCTAACAACATTATTAGGTCAAAATGAACCGAATGCGACTACGTATTGCTGAGCGTTTGAAGCAATCGCAAAACACCGCCGCATCTCTAACGACTTTCAATGAGGTTGACATGTCATCCTTGATGGAATTCAGAAAACTCTACAAAGATGAGGTGCTCAAGAAGACTGGTGTCAAGCTCGGATTCATGAGTGCCTTTTCTCGTGCATCTGTGCTTGCCCTGCGAGACATCCCTGCAGTAAACGCATCCATTGAGGGTCCAAACGGAGGTGACACCATTGTCTACAGAGATTATGTTGATATCAGCGTCGCCGTCGCCACCGAGAAGGGCTTGGTAACTCCCGTTGTTCGCAACACTGAGAGCATGGACCTTGTTGGTATTGAGAAGACTATTGCTGATCTCGGCAAAAAGGTATGGTTATTCTGTAGCATGTTTGACTCCACGCTTACTCACTGATTCATAGGCTCGTGACAACAAACTTACCATCGAAGATATGGCCGGAGGAACCTTTACCATTAGCAACGGCGGTGTGTTTGGCTCATTGATGGGTACACCTATCATCAATCTCCCACAAACTGCTGTTTTGGGTCTACATGCTATCAAAGACAAGCCCGTTGTCGTCAATGGCCAAATTGTCATTCGTCCAATGATGTATCTGGCCTTGACCTATGATCATCGTCTACTTGATGGAAGAGAGGCTGTCCAGTTCCTGGTCAAGGTTAAGGAGTACATAGAGGATCCAAGAAGAATGCTTTTGTAGACATTGTAGACAAGCAGAGTCATAATCTTGGCTGTAAAATTATACCTCCAGTGCACACATGTAATACAAGACGAAGCATTAGCAAGCCCTCGGGCATCCAAGCTTTAATGCTATCTCGTTGATTGCGATGAGAGCATTTGTTGATATGTATTTTATGACCACATTTTGTCGCAATTGTTCCAAAGACATTCAATCGCATACAAGTACAGATGGCCAAAATCACGATGTGGTATGGCTTGTAACCGACATGCAGTTCATCGTTACAGACAAGAAGTCCGCTAAACACGTGTTCTCATAGACACCATCCGGTGCTGCCATCCATATATGTGATTTTACCATGAATGCGTGCCTGTGGATTTCAACAACAGTCAGAGTATGAATCACATACTTCTTGTTTTACTATGCACTATTCCCTCCTAGTTTAATCGAGACCACTTCATAAAGCGCCTGCTCACCAATAGGATATTGCATACATCAATCAAAACTAACTCTATGCTATCAACTCCTCCTGATATTTACAATTGCAATCCTTTACTAAGGTCGGCTGATTCGAGTAGTTATGCCATCGTTCTAATTCACTGTTGGGTGCACTTTAAGCTTCAAGCTTGAACTATAATCGCGTAATTTTCAAGTTTGAACTTGTTCAAGATGGGAATGCAGTCCTATATGGTGAGCTTGAAGTTTAATCTCCTTTAGATGACTACGATGGCATTAGCAGCAATGCCTTGGACAAAAATACAAACACCCATGATTAGTCCGGTGAACTGTACCAGATAGTACTGCGAGTATTTGTATTGCCATCATACGAGTGTGGACGGCGCAAACAAGCTACGGTGGTCTTGCTCTGCTGGTTAAGATATCTGGAAATGTTATTCACCGAGTTGGGGTCAAAGGTAACAATCCAAAACTTGAAACATCCGTTCTGACTGTTTGAAAGTGCAAGTTTTGAAGCTTAGACTTAAATCATCAGACTTCAAGCTCCTCGGTGGACTTGAATATATCCATGCCCTTATTTTTCAAATGATGAAAATAATGTCAAGTATGAAATTGAATACATTAGGGATGATACGAATGAGGCGCACATTGAGCGTATTCTATCTCGCTGGTAGCTCAGCTATTTCTAGGTTGTCTTATCGATAGAAATAATAACAAATATATTGGAAATTATACATTTTGTATTATGATTCAACCCTTGATTACGATGATTATAAAATGGGTCGAGTATAGACAACGAGTGTCTCATTCACTGACATTGTGACCTGTCTGGAGCTATACAATAACATGTAACTCTCAGTGAGAATTAGTATGAGACTATAAATCTATCGCTAACTATATTGGAGAATTGAAATCATGAGATCATTTACTCAAGTAGAAGGATCTTTCATTATATAGTCTGCTTACTGAGCTTTAAAATATAGACCATTGGAGTTCAAGCTTATATAAAATATAGATTACTAGACTACACTTCTTTGGGGATGATAAAACTGAAGAACAATTGAAAGTTAAAAAATAATCTATAAATCATTTATACTAATAATAGGCTCTGGTTAGTAACCATTGGGCTCCTAATAGGGAAATGGGGCTATCTCTGGAAAGCAATTGTCCCCCTACTTTTTCAGTAGATACTTTATTCAATTCCTGAATTGCTATGAATTTTTTTGTTAAATTCAAGAATATAATTTGTTTTCGTATAGTTTAATATTCTTTTGAATAGGGAGAGCCGCTTTCCTCAACTAGGAACTAGAAGGCTGTTCATAAGAGCCGATTGTTGCTTCTAGCAAGATCAAGTAATAGAGAATATAATAGATAATTTACTAATTGAAGAGGACTCCGAGAGTAAATAGAGGCTACAGTATTCTCTGTAAAACATATATTGTATATAGACAACTACTCGATATAGTTTCAAAACCCTTATTACATTCACTAAATTCAATCAAAAATCTTGGGAATCTTACTCTCGAGCTTGTTTCATTCTACCAGCTGCCGGCTCTTGCAAATGGCCAACTACATCCTAGTCAAGAAAAGTGAATACTTCAAACTACAATGAACTAGTTGAAAATTATCATGAACCTGTATATTCATTGTTATATTATATATAGAAATTTTTGGAACTTATTGCAATTCTGTTGCTCGCTATGAATGTAATGATTGTTGTTATGTATAGAGCTATGCTGGTTGTATGAGTTGTATAATACAATCTCTCTTTCACATATGTATGAGAGTATGTGAAAAGTGTAATTACATTTAATCATACAATTATAGAATGATGGGATAGTATTGTAGTTACTATTTATATCCAATTGATATTTTTAGTTATACTCTCTTCTCTTTGTTGAGTTCGATGCTTTAAAAATCTGAAAATCTAAAATTTGGAAATCTAAGAATCTGAAAATCTAAGAATCTAAACCGTTCGGATAAATCATGAACAACATATCAGATTTCTTAACCCTTTGAAAATTTCTTCTTAATTTCCGGTTAATTTTCAATTTTTAATTTATTTTGATGAACGTAACAAGCTTGGAATAGCATATATGAATTTTATTCAGAAGATTTGAATTTAATCATAATTGTTGTCGATTTTGAAGTTTGTTAGTTTGATCAAGATCTTCATCTAGCATTTATATCTAATGATTTCATATGTACAATATGTATGTATTTTTCGATCAAGTAGCTTTCTATTATAAATCATGTTTCAATGTGTGTAGCTTAGAGCATTCAATTAAGAATCGAGATATCTGATACTTTTAGGTTTTTAAACTTGGATAATTAATTTTATATGTGATATTGAAGAGATCTTGAGCTGTATCAGAATCAAATTGAAGTATTCTTTGTTAGAAGCAGAGAAGAATTAAACATAAGATACTACAAAACTAGGCAATTATGAGCATGAAATGATTCCATTAACATCCTTTCAAAGATCTAATATATAAAATACTAAAGTCTTTGACGAATTTCCGCTCTGAGTATACGTATAGTATGTATAGAGTATATAATTACAAATATCTATATATATCAGAGACTTCCCTTATCTGTAGAACCTTAGGGCTAATTTGGATGTACAAATCTGCACTGAATCCACTGAATATTCCATACTTTTTGAAAACGGATTTTGAATTTATATTTGAATATTAAATTATGAATTCTATTGAATAATCTATATTTCAATAAATTTAATATATTTTGAAATAGAAAAAGAATAGATTACTTTAAAATAATATTAAATAATCCATATTTTTCAATAAATTTATATAGGAAAATGAAAATACAAATTGAAAACAAGAATTAGAAAAAACTAATTTTGTTAAATCTATTGAAATAATCCGTTTTTTTATAGATCTTTATAAACTTGAAAATTTAAAGTTTTAATATATAAAACTTAAAATTATAATGAATAAAGTTTAAAGCTATAGGTTTATTTTGAATTGGAGTTTATAATTATATATAAATTTAAATAAAGCTATTTCTATATTTGTTTATTTAATTATTCAAATAATAATAATATATTAAAAATTCGAATTATTTTATCTAATTTATATATATATTATATATATATTCTATTTCCTTTTATTCTGATAAATTATTTAATAAATTTGATATATAAATCATAAAACTATAGATCAATAATCCACTCTTTTTGAAGCAAATTATTATTACTATAGAATCTGTGGTAATACAAAGAATGGATTATTTCAGCGGATTCAGTGCGGATTTTGCAATCAAACGAGCCCTTAAGTAATACAATTATTATATCTTACACTATACCTATCAACAACTTTCATTATATCAAATTATAATATAATTATTCTAAGGATTCATATTATTATAAAATGGAAGTTTGATGTTTCATATTCCATAAGAATTTATTGGAGCTAAATCTTTTTGATATATGTTTGTATTGAAATGCGATTTTTGAATTGATATATTATGGCTTATACAGTTCGGTTCTTATTAATAAATCTTTTCTTATATCTATTTGATTTTCGATTGTTAAAACCTTGGGAATTATAGAAAAGATATTATCTCGGTGAAATCAATATAGATATTGATTTGATTGCTATCAAAAAAATAAATATAAATGGATTATAAAGTCTAACTTAAGAAGCAATTTAAGTTTAAATTTTTATTTGAAATACAATTTATTTTCCTAACATTGTATACGGCAAATTCCGTTAATGCCTCGCAAGAGCGATTTCATTATTCTCATGTTTTGTGATCAAAAGATTATTTATTCTCATACATAATCTTTGAAAACTAAATGGAATCTATTTAGATCTTATAATTAAATCTATCTTAAAATTATAAATACTAGTTTATAATGAACTTTTTTTTAAAAAAAAGCACAAAGTTAGAGAAAAAAAGTATTATATTTACAAAGCGTATTTTTTTTATATAAATGCAGTTTCTTTTGAGAAAGCTTATTTTCTCTTGAGTATATTTTTTGATTCAAAATAACTAGAATCTAATCTAAAATATACAGGTTCTACTATAGAATTCAAGAAATATAAAAATATCACAAATATAGACTTTAGAATAGAAAAGTAATCAAATCGTTTTTGAGAAGTATTGAAGTGATTTTCTGTTTGATTCTATATTTCTATATTAGGGTCTGAGCTTCCAAACCCTTTGCTTTTTGAAAAAGTCAAAATTGATAATAACAATTATTATAAAATTGAAAAAGGAAGCATGTATATAGAGAATTTGTAAGCGAAATCAGTTTAATATCAATAACAAAACCTTAATAAAATCTTTTTGTCTTTTTTTTTCCTTTTTTTCTTCATAACTTCAATTCATAAGATTTCTGTTTTAATAGGGATTTAATTATATATTATTATATAATAAAGTGGGATATACTTTGTATATCAAATTAATAATTATATAATTATAATACGAAAGTAATAATATTAAAATAAGCTTATCCATAATAATTCTGTCAAATTATACACGAGTACTTTATAGCTGATTATATTCAATCAACTTTAACTCTTTATATCAATCTTGATATTGAAGTTGATATTATAAGAAATATGTCATTTGAAAGCTCTGAGTTTACTCTATAAAATTACTATTTTTTCTCTTTCTCTTAATCCATATTAGCTTAAGTAAGTTAATTCTAATAATTCTACTTCATGTTCTTTATGTTAAATTATTTGTAATATTTTTCTTCTTTTCTCTTATATAATAATAGTAGTTAAAAATTTAAAATATATTTTAATCTTTTTATTAAATAAAGGTTGATTTCCAAAAGTTTTTAAATCTTATCTACTGATTATTTTATTCTATACTAATAATTTTATAGAATTATATATTTTGTTATCATTCAATTAATAGAGATATATATAATGATAAATTGTTTTGTTAGGGTGCAATAGTAGAGAACATAATAGAGTTATATAAAAAGCTATATAAATAACTATAAAAAATATGTTAAAATCTGATCACTATTAATTCTATGCCCTAATCAATTTAAAGTATATTTAATTCCTTATATCTTACTTTTCTATAATTCTAATATCATAGATCTATATTTTTGTTACGGGAGCTGCCTCTAGGGTCACGTGGAAGTATCTAGAGATCTCTTGAGATGGTTTAGATTAGATTCTAAATAGAAATTCAATAAGGCTATAATTAATTATAATTCTTGTAGTTATAATATAAAACTCCATATTATAATAAAGCCTATTTCCTTATATATATTTTTATTCTTATTTAAATGGCCAAAATAGTCTATCTATTCAGTTTATCTACAAATAACTTAAATAATCTATTTATCATATTTATCCATTATATAACACTTAATCCATAACTTAAATAATACTATTACTTATTTAATCTATATCTTTTAACTAACCTGTACTTACTTTATAATCTATAATTACTGTTCATTCAATATTTATCATAAAATAAATATAATCATTTGATTATTTATTTAGTTATTAATATTCTGAATTATCTTTGATTTCTATTACCCCTACATTACTATTTTTGTAGATTCTAATACTAAGGTTTTAGGTTTATCTTAAAATTCATATTGCGGTGTGTACCTCTGTAACAATTCTTTCGTTTTGTTACAAATTAAAAATTATAAGCTTATCATAAATCAAATCTATAATTCTTAAA